GGCGCTTGTAACGCCAAGGTAGTGGGTTCGATCCCCGGGACCACCCATACACAAAAATGTATGCACGCATGACTGTAAGTCGCTTTGGATGAAAGCGTCTGCTAAATGGCATATTATTATTTATTATTATTATTATTATTATTATATTATTATTATTATTATTATTATTATTATTATTATTTATTATTATTATACTGCTCAGCTAGCTAAGTAGCTAGCTAATGTTAGCTAGCACCTACGTCCTAGTTAGCTAGGAAACGTTAGCTAGCTAGCATTAGTTTATTTATTTTTTATATATACCTTTTATTTAACCAGGTAAGCCAGTTGAGAACAAGTTTTCATTTACAACTGTGACCTGGCCAAGATAAAGCAAAGCAGTGCGATAAAAACAACAACACAGAGTTACATATGGAGTAAAACAAAACATACAGTCAATAACACAATAGAAAATATATATACAGTGTGTGCAAATGTAGTAAGTTATGGAGGTAAGGCAATAAATAGGCCATAGTGCAAAATAATTACAATTTAGTATTAACATTGGAATGATAGATGTGCAGAAGATGATGTGCAAATAGAGATACTGGGATGCAAATGAGCAAAATAAATAACAATATGGGGATGAGGTAGTTGGGTGGGCTAATTTCAGATGGATTGTGTACAGGTGCAGTGATCGGTAAGCTGCTCTGCCAACTGATGCTTAAAGTTAGTGAGGGAGATAAGAGTCTCCAGCTTCAGAGATTTTTGCAGTTCGTTCCAGTCATTGGCAGCAGAGAACTGGAAGGAATGGCGGCCAAAGGATGTGTTGGCTTTGGGGATGACCAGTGAGATATACCTGCTGGAGCGCATACTACGGGTGGGTGTTGCTATGATGACCAATGAGCTAAGATAAGGCGGGGATTTGCCTAGCAGTGATTTATAAATGACCTGGAGCCAGTGTGTTTGGCGACTAATATGTAGTGAGGGCCAGCCAACGAGAGCGTACAGGTCACAATGGTGGGTAGTATATGGGGCTTTGGTGACAAAACGGATGGCACTGTAATAGACTACATCCAATTTGCTGAGTAGAGTGTTGGAGGCTATTTTGTAAATGACATCGCCGAAGTCAAGGATCGGTAGGATAGTCCGTTTTACGAGGGCATGTTTGGCAGCATGAGTGAAGGAGGCTTTGTTGTGAAATAGGAAGCCGATTCTAGATTTAACTTTGGATTGGAGATGCTTAATGTGAGTCTGGAAGGAGAGTTTACGGTCTAACCAGACACCTAGGTATTTGTAGTTGTCTACATATTCTAAGTCAGACCCGCCGAGAGTAGTGATTCTAGTCGGGCAGGCGGGTGCAAGCAGCGTTCGATTGAAGAGCATGCATTTAGTTTTACTAGCGTTTAAGAGCAGTTGGAGGCTACGGAAGGAGTGTTGTATGGCATTGAAGCTCGTTTGGAGGTTTGTTAACACAGTGTCCAATGAAGGGCCAGATGTATACAAAATGGTGTCGTCTGCATAGAGGTGGATCTGAGAGTCACCAGTAGCAAGAGCGACATCATTGATATACAAAGAGAATAGAGTCGGCCCGATAATTAAACCCTGTGGCACCCCCATAGAGACTGCCAGAGGTCCAGACAACAGGCCCTCCGATTTGACACATTGAACTCTATCTGAGAAGTAGTTGGTGAACCAGGCGAGGCAGTCATTTGAGAAACCTCAAGGTAAAACCTCAAATGTATTTTTGAATATATAAATTCTACAAGACCATTTTACACAAGATAATATTTGGCACGATATAGTTAGCTAGCTAAGTAGAACACATTTGCTGGCTAGTTAGGTTCGCTAGCTAGCTGGAAAGCTTTAGCTGCCAGCTAGCTAGTTAACATCAGCATGCCAGAATTTCCATGCAATTTGTTTAGCTAGCTTTTTTGGATTAGCACACTAGCTAGCTAGTTATCTAATCTTTTGAACTGAGCTAGTTATCTAACTTTTTGTCTCTAGCTAGGTAGCTGGTAAGTTAGCTAACTAGCATCCTTTGTCAGCACACTAGTGGTTCCAATTTTAAGACTAAGCTAACTACCTAGTGTAAAAAAAAAAAAAGATAAATAGCTAACCCCTTTCATCTGTGGTAGTGTGATGAGTGTGATGGAAGGAGTCAGGCGCAGGAGGGTAATCACAGAATACAGAGTTTATTCCGTCTTTACACACAAATGCGCTGGAATAGCGACAAACAAAACGCTCCACCGAGCTCCACGACTCTCACAATTAAACAATCACCCACAAGGACAAGGGGGGCAGAGGGAACACTTATACACGGACTAACGAGGGGATAAGAACCAGGTGTGTGTAATGACAAGACAAGACAAATGCAATGATGAATATAGGAGCGGCAGTGGTTAGGAAGCTGGTGACGACGAGCGCCGAAAGCCTGTCCGAACAAGGAGGGGAGGCAGCCTCTGCGGAAGTCTTGACAGGTAGATAGCTATTAGTGTTAGCAAGTCATGTTAAACAATAGCTAGCTATTAGTATTATTATTATTAGCTAGCAGTGGATAACATAACTAGCTAAGCCTAAATGGTATAAATTAGTATAAATTATGATAATGATGATAGTATAGTTTTGTGTAGCTAGAGTGAATCGTCATAAATTCCTCTTCTCTCCCACAGATTCCCATACGGTCTCAGACTCCAGGATGGGAAAATGCTTAACAAGAAATAAACAGATGAAGACACAGAAGGGGACCATGAGACCCTATGTTGTATGTTAAATAGTTAATCTGTTGTACATTTCTATTCTGACTTGTAATGTTAAACAGGGGAGAAAAAGACTCCCCCTGTTTATCTGAATTAGCCAGGCTACTCACTATACCAATGATAGGCTACAGATTTGAGTCACTGCAATAAAAATGTTTTCTCAATGTATCCTTCCATTAAATTACATTTTGTTCTTATTATGTATTTCATGTTTGAGGAGATGATATGCTGTTATAAATGTTTGCATCTCATTAATAAATGGCCAGAAGGTTTCCACTTATTTTTAGAAGTTATATAAATATTAGTAGGCCTAACTCATTAATAAATGGTGATAAATGTTGTTAACTAATTTGTTAATGAGTTAGTGGATTGGCACTTTAAAATACATACTGGTCCCCTGTAGCTCAGTTGGTAGAGCATGGCGCTTGCAACGCCAGGGTTGTGGGTTCGTTTCCCACGGGGGGCCAGTATGAAAATGTATGCACTCACTAACTGTAAGTCGCTCTGGATAAGAGCGTCTGCTAAATGACAAAAATGTATAATTTTTGCAGTGATAAATGTTGCTAACTCATTTGCTAATGAGTTAGTGGATTGGCACTTTAAAATATGGTATAATCTTTGCAGTTATAAATGTTGACAACTCAGTTATAAATGTTTATATATCTGTCACTTTAAAATAAGGTATGCTTTTAGCAGTTATACATGTAGGTAAATCATTTATAGATGATTTGAGAGTTCACTCAGAGCGTAGACATACTTATAGGCAGTATTGGGTACTCGTCGCTGCATACAAGAGAGCAGATTCAACACTTTGTTAAACATGTTCATTCAATTAATGGTGGGAGTGAAGATCAAAACATTAAACGTGTTGTGAGAGGATACCTCCTTCACCGTTTCACCAACCAGAGGTGTCACGGTTATCATTTCACCCCAGAGCGTTCACCATACTTGGGACTAGCACAGAGAAGTGGTAGGTGTGTTGGTATAATCTGGTAAAGGGGTCATATGTTAGGAATGATGATTGAATAATGTCATGGATGTAAAGTTGGCCAGGGCGTCAGGGTTTTCAAAGGTAGGTCAAATCAAATCAGTATTTTTCTGCCCATTTGTCCAAAGATGCACTTTATGGGTCAACATAGACCCAATACAACATAAAGATAGATGAACGTCCAGGCCATACTGTGACTATTTGAGTGAGTTGGATTATGATTGGGGTTTACAATTACACTACAGTTTATTTCCTATTTATTTCATTTCGTCCAGAAGTGTAAAGGAGTCCTTTTCAATTTCTTTGTAAAGCTTTTGATTCAATTCATTAAGTTTGAAGCTTTAATAAAATGGGACACCAAAGTATGTTTTACATGTTTTAGTTGTCTTCTGTAGCTCAGCTGGTAGAGCACGGCGCTTGTAACGCCAGGGGTAGTGGGTTCGATCCCCGGGACCACCCATACACAAAAAATTTATGCGCGCATGACTGTAAGTCGCTTTGGATAAAAGCGTCTGCTAAATGGCATATTATTAGTATTAGTATTATCATTATTATTAGTATTATTAGTATTAGTATTATCATTATTATTATTATCATTATTATTATTACTATTATTATTATCATTATTATTATTATTATTATTATCATTATTATTATTATTATTATCATTATTATTATTATTATTATTATTATTATTATTATTATCATTATCATTATTATTATTATTATTATTATTATTATTAGACGCATCATGAAAACCAACCTCTGTTCCTGGGACAGAGCACCAATGCATCACACCCAAAAGTGAGAAAATAACCATTGTTCAACTGTGCAACTATAGAAAATAAGGTCTTATGATGAAACATAAGGGTTCATCTTAAAAGCGTTACTAAGTGCATTTCTAAATGGTTAATAACTGGAGGTAAATATTGGCTCACTATTTGGCAAACACTGACCAGTTATTGCACTATTTTGACCAATTTATTAAAGGTTTATTAATGCATTTACAAATGATTCAATAATAGTTAATAACGTAATTACAACCCCATTTATATAACCCTTTACAAATGTAACCTTATTGTAAAGTGTTACCGTGAATCATAACTTCCACTTTAAGTTAAATGTTAATTTAGTCATGGGTTGATATCAATGGGAAGGGAGGTTAAGATTCGCCCCTGTCTGTGTGACCATGTCTTTCTGTGTGACCATGTCTTTCTGTGTGACCATGTCTTTCTGTGTACCGTACTGATGGGCTTTATCGTGGTGTTGTGTTTCAGATATATGCAAAAAACCTGGTGAATGCAGATAGATGTGCACTATTCCAGGTGGACCACAATAACAACGAACTGTACTCAGACCTGTTTGACATCGGGGAGGAGAGCGAGGGCAAACCTGTCTTCAGGAAAACCAAAGAGATTCGGTAAGGGTCATGATTGATACTGCTTATGTGAGTGATTCTCTGAAGAGTTGTGTTGAATTGACTAGTGATTGTGTGAACGATTCTATGACGGACTATGTTGAATTGACTAGTGATTGTGTGAACGATTCTCTGACGGACTATGTTGAATTGACTAGTGATTGTGTGAACGATTCTCTGACGGACTATGTTGAATTGACTAGTGATTGTGTGAACGATACTCTGGTGACAGCAGCTGAGCAGTTGTAACTATAGAACTAGAATCCTAGAACAGGGACACTAGAATCCTAGAACAGGGAAACTAGAATCATAGAACAGGGGAACTAGAATCAAAGAACAGGGGAACTAGAATCATAGAACAGGGGAACTAGAATCATAGAACAGGGGAACTAGAATCCCTAGAACGGGGAAACTACAATCAAGGAATGGGGAAATTACAATCCTAGAATGGGTAAGCTACAATCATAGAACAGGGAAATTACAATCCTAGAACAGAGAAGCTACAATCCTAGAACGTAGTAACTAAAATCCCTAGAACGGGGAAACTAGAATCCTAGAACAGCAAAACTAAAATCCCTAGAACAGGGGAACTAGAATCCTAGAACAGGGGAACTAGAGAACAGGGGAACTAGAATCCTACAACATGGGAACTAGAATCCTAGAACAGGGGAACTAGAATCCTAGAACAGGGACACTAGAATCCTAGAACAGGGAAACTAGAATCCTAGAACAGGGGAACTAGAATCATAGAACAGGGGAACTAGAATCATAGAACAGGGGAACTAGAATCATAGAACAGGGGAACTAGAATCATAGAACAGGGGAACTAGAATCATAGAACAGGGGAACTAGAATCCTAGAACAGGGGAACTAGAATCCTAGAACAGGAAAACTAGAATCCTAGAACAGGGGAACTAGAATCCTAGAACAGGGAAACTAGAATCCTAGAACAGGGGAACTAGAATCATAGAACAGGGGAACTAGAATCATAGAACAGGGGAACTAGAATCATAGTAATAATCCAGAACAGGGTATAGACATCCTAGCAACAGTGGAACTATATCCTAGAACAGGGAAACTAGAACATATAACAGGGGAACTATAATCAATAAGAACAATGGGAACTAGAACATAGACCAGGGGGCTAGAATCATATGAACTTGGGGTGGCCTAGAATCATAGAACAGGGAAACTAGAATCCTAGAACGGGGAACTAGAATCTGAACAGGGGAACTAGAATCCCTAAGAACAGGAAACTAGATCCGAGAACAGGGGAACTAGAATTCCTATAACAGGGGAACTAGAATCCTAGAACAGGGAAACTAGAATCCTTAGAACAGGGAACAGAAATCCTAGACATGGAAACTAGAATCCTTAACAGCCAGGGGAACTAGAATCCTAAGAACAGGGAAACTAGAATCCTAGAACAGGGGAACTAGAATCCTAGAACAGGGAAACTAGAATCCTAGAACAGGGAAACTAGAATCCTAGAACAGGGGAACTAGAATCCTAGAACAGGGAAACTAGGATCTATGGTTGTAACCTCCAGCGCTCTTCTGTCCTCTCCTCGTCCAGGTTTTCTATAGAGAAAGGAATAGCGGGCCAAGTGGCACGGACGGGGGAGGTCCTTAACATCCCAGACGCCTATGCAGACCCACGCTTTAATAGGTGAAACTCCCATTTTACCCTGGCTGCGTCTGAAATGGCACCCTATTTCCTATTTATGGGTTGCACGTTTCGTCACAACATTGTTTTGAACGCTCGCTTTATGACTGATGCCCAGCTGAGCATTCCACTCAATGCAGTCCCGAGTGGCGCAGTGGGCTAAGGCACTGCATCTCAATGCATCTCAGTGCTGGAGGCGTCACTACAGACCCTGGTTCAATTCCAGGCTGTATCACAATCTGGCCGTGATTGGGAGTCCCATAGGGCGGGGGCACAATTGGCCCAGGTTTGGCCGGGGTAGGCCGTCATTGTAAATAAGAATTTGTTCTTAACTGACTTGCCTAGTTAAATAAATAAAGTCTCAATAGGTGCTGATGAAGATTTATTCTAAAGTGCACTACTGTGGCTTGGAAACACGATGACATTTCGAAAGGAGGCAAATAATTAGCAGGACAAGCTTTTGTCATCATTGTGATGTCACCAGATTTACTTTAGATGCAGAATAACGTTAGCTGGCTAGCTAAGATTAGAAGGGAGAGCACCGACATTTTAGCTAGCTAACGTTTAACATTGTTAGCTATTTCTGACTAACTTTGCTAGCTAATGTCAACATTGCCATCTCTCTTTGCTAGCTCATGGCAACATTGCCATCTCTTTAAAGTAAAATGTATGACATCATAATGATGGCAAAGTTGTTTTCTACTAATTATTTGTCTATTTCGGCAATGTCATCGTATTTCCAGGCCACTAAAGTGTAATTTTGACTAAAAACAGTCACTAGCCCACGTTCAGAAACACTGGGCATTAATCATCAGTGGGAAATCAATATGCTGCGGCATCTGTAGAACGTTGATAACAATGGCAACGATGTGACGGATGAATATAGTGCACTACTTTTGACCAGATCCATTTGGGCCCTGGTCAAAAGAAGTGCACTTTACAGTTGAAGTGGGAAGTTTACATACACTTTTAGCCAAATACATTTAAACTCAGTTTTTCACAATTCCTGACATTTTTTAATCCTAGTAAAAAATTCCCTGTCTTAGGTCAGTTAGGATCACCACTTTATTTTAAGAATGTGATGTATCAGAATAATAGTAGAGAGAATGATTTATTTTCCTCCAAACATAACGATGGTCATTATGGCCAAACAGTTCTATTTTTGTTTCATCAGAGCAGAGGACATTTCTCCAAAAAGTACGATCTTTGTCTCCATGTGCAGTTGCAAACCGTAGTCTGGCTTTTTTATGGCGGTTTTGGAGCAGTGGATTCTTCCTTTCTGAGCGGCCTTTCAGGTTATGTCGATATAGAACTCGTTTTACTGTGGATATAGATACTTTTGTACCTGTTTCCTCCAGCATCTTCACAAGGTCCTTTGCTGTTGTTCTGGGATTGATTTGCACTTTTCCCACCAAAATGCGTTCATTTCTAGGAGACAGAATGTGTCTCCTTCCTGAGCGGTATGACAGCTGCGTGGTCCCATGGTGTTTATACTTGCGTACTATTGTTTGTACAGATGAACGTGGTACCTTCAGGCGTTTGGAAATTGCTCCCAAGGATGAACCAGACTTGTGGAGGTCTACACTTTTCTTTCTGAGGTCTTGGCTGATTTCTTTTGATTTTTTTTGTCAACAATCTACACAAAATACTCCTTAATGTCAAAGTGAAATATCTTTTTAATATATATTTTTTAATTATATAACTAAAATATAGTCGTTGCGTAAGTATTCAGCTCCCTGAGTCAATACATGTTAGAAGCCCCTTTGGCAGCGATTTACCGCTGTGAGTCTTCTTGGGTGAGTCTATAAGAGCTTTCCGCACCTGGATTGTGCAATATTTGCCCATTATTCTTTTCTAAATTCTTCAAGCTCTGTCAACATGTTGGGGATCGTGGCTAGACAGCAATTTTCAAGCAGATTTACAGATAGTTACAGTGGCTTGCGGAAGTATTCACCCCCCTTGGCATTTTTCCTATTTTGTTGCCTTACAACCTGGAATTAAAATGGATTTTTGGGGGGGTTTGTATCATTTGATTAACACAACATGCCTACCACTTTGAAGATGCAAAATATGTTTTATTGTGAAACAAACAAGAAATAAGGCAAAAAAACAGAAATATTTTCACCATGCCAACACAATGCTTCCCTGTGGGGATGGTGTTCTCTGGGTGATGAGAGGTGTTGGGTTTGCGCCAGACATAGCGTTTTCCTTGATGGCCAGAAAGCTCAATTTTAGTCTCATCTGACCAGAGTACCTTCTTACATATGTTTGGGGAGTCTCCCACATGGCTTTTGGCGAACACCAAACGTGTTTGCTTATTTTTTTCTTTAAGCAATGGCTTTTTTCTGGCCACTCTTCCGTAAAGCCCAGCTCTGTGGTACGGCTTAAAGTGGTCCTATGGACAGATACTCCAATCTCCGCTGTGGAGCTTTGCAGCTCCTTCAGGGTTATCTTTGGTCTCTTTGTTGCCTCTCTGATGAATGCCCTCCTTGCCTGGTCCGTGAGTTTTGGTGGGCGGCCCGCTCTTTGTTGTGGTGCCATATTCTTTCCATTTTTTAATAATGATTTAATGGTGCTCCGTGGGATGTTCAAAGTTTCTGATATTTTTTATAACCCAACCCTGATTTGTACTTCTCCACAACTTTGTCCCTGACCTGTTTTGAGAGCTCCTTGGTCTTCATGGTGCCGCTTGCTTGGTGGTGCCCCTTGCTTAGTGGTGTTGCAGACTCTGGGGCCTTTTAGAACAGGTGTATATATATATATATATATATATATATATATATACAGTGCCATCCACTATTATTGGCACCCCTGTTTAAGATGTGGTCGAGGACTTCCAAAAATTCTCCTTTTTTTTTTTAACAACATAGAACCCAAATGCAAAAAAAGAGAAAAATCCAACCTTTTATTTAAGTACATTACTTTGGTGGTAAAAAAAAAAATCACACATTTAGAAAAAAAAAACTTGAAATCATGTGTCCCACAATTATTGGCACCCCTAACAATTCCGCTGAAAATTTTAATTGATTTTTTAAAAAAATATATTTTTCTGTAGTTGCTAAAGTTGGTCAGGGTATCTAGGAACTTTTAATTAGTAATTCATGACTTCCTGTTTCCCTGGGTATAAATATGACGTGACACAGAGGCCTAATTCTCTTACCCATTTGTCAACATGGCAAAGACAAGAGAACACATCATTCAAGTAAGGCAGATTTGTGTCGACCTTCATAAGTCAGGCAATGGCTACAAGAAAATAGCCACTCACCTTAACTTGCCCGTATCTACAGTCAGAGGAATCATTAAGAAGTTTAAAACAACTGGAACAGTGACAAACAAGGCTGGAAGAGGTCCCAAGTTTATCTTGCCACAACGCACAGTGAGGAGGATGGTAAGAGAGTAAAAAAAAGTCCTAAGCTCACTGTCACAGAATTGCATCAAAGAGTGGCATCTTGGGGTCACAAAGTCTCCAAAACAACCATCAGACGCTCTCTACATGCCAACAAGCTGTTTGGGAGGCATGCAAGGAAAAAGCCTTTTCTCACTAACACTCACAAACGTAAACGTCTGGAGTTTGCTAAGCGGCACTGGGACTTCAACTGGGATCGTGTGCTTTGGTCAGATGAGACTAAGATTGAGCTTTTTGGCAACAAACACTCTAAGTGGGTCTGGCGTAAAACAAAAGATGAGTATGCCGAAAAGCACCTCATGCCCACCGTGAAGTATGGTGGAGGATCTGTGATGCTGTGGGCCTGTTTCTCTTCCAAAGGCCCTGGGAACCTTGTTAGGGTGCATGGCATTATGAACGCTTTGAACTACCAGGACATTTTAAAATAAAAACCTGATGGCCTCTGCCAGAAAGCTGAAGATGGGTCGTCATTGGGTCTTTCAGCAGGATAATGATCCAAAAACGTGGCCAAATCTACACAAAAATGGTTCAGCAGTCACAAACTCAAGGTCCTCCCATGGCCATCTCAGTCCCCAGACCTCAACCCAATCGAAAACCTGTGGGGCGAGCTAAAGAGGAGAGTGCATAAGAGAGGACCCAGGACACTGGATGATCTAGAAAGATTGTGCAAAGAAGAATGGTCAAAGATCCCTCTCTCTGTGTTCTCCAATCTTGTGAAATGTTATAGGAGGAGATTAAGTGCTGTCTTGTTGGCAAAAGGGGGTTGTACAAAGTATTAACATCAGGGGTGCCAATAATTGTGGGACACATGATTTCAAGTTTTTTTTTTTCTAAATGTGTGATTATTTTTTTTTACACCAAAGTAATGTACTTAAATAAAAGGTTGGATTTTTCTATTTTTTTGCATTTGGGTTCTATGTTGTTTAAAAAAAAAAGGAGAATTTTTGGAAGTCCTCGACCACATCTTAAACAGGGGTGCCAATCATTGTGGAGGGCACTGTATATATATATATATATATATATATATATATACTGAGATCATGTGACACTTAGATTGCACACAGGTGGACTTTATTTAACTAATTATGTGACCTCTGAAGGTAATTGGTTGCACCAGATCTTCTTTAGGGGCTTCATAGCAAAGGGGGTGAATACATATACACGCACCACTTTTCCGTTATTTTTTTTAAAATAATGTTTTGAAACAAGTTATTTTTTTCATTTCACTTCACCAATTTCGACTATTTTGTGTATGTCCATTACATGAAATCCAAATAAAAATCAATTTAAATTACAGGTTGTAATGCAACAAAATAGGAAAAACGCCAAGGGGGATGAATACTTTTGCAAGGCACTGTAAGTCAAAACTGTAATTTAGCCACTCAAGACATTCACTGTCTTCTTGGTAAGCAGCAGTGTAGATTTGGCTTTGTGTTGTAGGTTATTGTCCTGCTGAAAGGTGAATTCCTCTCCCAGTGTCTGGTGTAAAGCATTTACATTTTTTTCATTTAGCAGACGCTCTTATCCAGAGCGACTTACAGTTAGTGAGTGCATACATTATTAATTTTTAATTTTTCATACTGGCCCCCCGTGGGAATCGAACCCACCAACTGAGCTACATCCCTGCCGGCCATTCCCTCCCCTACCCTGGACGACGCTGGGCCAATTGTGCGCCGCCCCATGGGTCTCCCGGTCGCGGCCGGCTACGACAGAGCCTGGATTCGAACTAGGATCTCTAGTGGCACAGCTAGCGCTGCGATGCAGTGCCTTAGACCACTGCGCCACTCAGGAGACAGGAGTTCAGCCTTAGCTTTGATGTATATAGTTTACTGGAATATAAGCCTAATGAATAAACAATGGCATCATGTCAAGTTGAATGCTGGGATACATTTTAAGGTCGACTTTGGGCATAAAAAAAAAACGGTCCAACTCCGCCCCTTTCTCAATTTTCTAACAGAAATTGGGTGTGCTGTTATTTTTGCGTTTTTTGTCCAAAGTCTACTTTTAACCCCATTCTTTTCTCTTCACAGAGAGGTGGACCTCTATACAGGCTACACCACGCGGAACATCCTATGCATGCCCATTGTTTCCAGGGGGACCGTAATAGGGGTCGTACAGATGGTTAACAAGCTGAGTGGAAGTGCCTTCACCAAAACAGACGAGAACAACTTCAAGATGTTCGCCGTCTTCTGTGCTCTAGCCTTGCACTGTGCCAACGTCAGTGTTTTGTCTCTTTTAATATATATTTTTTATCAAAATGTATTTTATTTTGTGTTAGACAAAACAAGCCACATATATGACATTCAGGATACAGTATACTCCAGTACAAATCTGAGAGTTTCTCTTTCCATTAAAATCAGCGATTCTCAATCCACTTAAGAATTGACTCCTCAACTCTGTACTGCACAGTTAACCGACACATCAAAGGCCAATATTAGACACAGTAAAAGCTTGGAAAATCATGAATCAGAATGACTAAAGCTTGACTATTTAGCTCAGTCCAGCCCCAAAAGCCTGCTGGGACCAACACTCCTGACATGTCTTTGAGCTATGTGTCCCCAAGACGTTGTTAAACATCTGGGGTAGGACAGCCAGGCTGTACGCACGCAGACACCAAACCCCCAACACCTTCCCTCCACGTCCCTTCCACCATAACAGATAAATCAGGAGATCCAGCCAGCCAAAGTGACTTACCTAAAGGTACACACACACACACACACAGAGACACACATACACACGCACACACACTAACACACACACACACCTAAAGGCAGGAGGCGTGAATTACTGTTCAACATAAATCCCCCAGCTGGGAGGATGGCAGCGGTTGGCGGGGGAGGGTCTTGGGGTGTTAAAATATTAACGTGCCTCATCAATTTTAAAAGTAACATGATGACGCAAGCTCCTGCGCAAGTGTGTCGCATTAGAGGGGGAGGTCAGAAGGAGGAGAGGAAGAGAGAGGAAGCGGAGAAGAGAGAGGGGGAGAGAGGAGAGAGACTGAAGTGGAGAGGGGAGAAAGAGAGAGGAGAGAGACTGAGGGAGGGTGAGGGAAGAAGAGAAGGAAGATAACTGAGGGAGGAGAGGAGAAAAGAGAGAGAAAAGAGACTGAGGGAGGAGAAGGAGAAAGAGAGGAGAGAGACAGGGAGGTAACATGAAAGGTAAAAAAAGGTCTTTTTTAGGGGTTAATTAGATTAGATACATTTTTATTATATTGATAAAATATATTATTAGGGCCTTTTTTGGGATTTATTTTGGTTTTATCCCCCCAAAATTTAATTTAAATGAGGGGTTTTTTATTCTTTCCTTTGTTAATTGAATCTGATATTTACTTTTTTTTCCAATATTAACGTTTTTTTTCACACAAAAAAAGATATGACTCCAACGGCACAACCGGCAGAAGAAAGAGAATGGGCCATTTTTTAAAAGTCTTCCTCCCGTCTACCTTTCTTTCTGTCTGTCTCTTTCCTGTCCAGATTACCACCGGTCAGGCACTCTGATTATACAGGTAAACCCTGGAAAAGTTTTCCTACCACAGTAATTCTCAGAGAGTGGGGCCCCTCACACAGCTGGACCTGCCTACGCCCCTATACAAAGAGATAGAACTGTGAGTGTCATAACTCTAAACCCTAACCCAACACCCTTATACAAAGAGATAATCCCAATGTGTTCATACACCTTAACCTAGCTCTTATAGTATTCTGATCCCCAGCCATGTTTATCCGAGCAGACCTGGGTTCAAACAGTATTTGTTTTCTTTCAAATATTTACAATTGGGCTTGATTGAGCTTGTTGGACACAATGGAACCAATAGAATGGTCCAAAACGTGAAAACCCTGCCAATCTGGTAGGCTTAATCAAATTATCAAAGTATTTGAAAGGAAATAAATGCTTTTGGGGACCCATGTCTGTCTCTAAGAAAGGGAGAGAGACGGCCCTCACGTAGACACAGTCCAGATCTGAGTGCCAGCCAGCTCTCTTCTTGAGGACAGACTGACAGACAGACAGGAGGACAGACAGACAGACAGGAGGACAGACAGACAGACAGGAGGGCAGACAGACAGACAGGAGGGCAGACAGACAGCCAGGAAGGCAGACAGACAGACAGACAGACAGGAGGACAGACATGACATACAGACAGACAACAGACAGACAGACAGACAAGACAGACAGACGAGGACAGACAGACAGGAGGACAGTACAGACAGACAGACAGACAGACAGACAGACAGACAGACAGACAGACAGACAGACAGACAGACAGACAGACAGACAGACAGACAGACAGACAGACAGACAGACAGACAGACAGACAGACAGACAGACAGACAGACAGACAGACAGACAGACAGGAGAGAATGTCCAGAGCAGGAAGGAAGGGGTCCTGCCCCGCGAGTGTGTGTTTCAGCCCAGCTATTGCCTCTCTCTCTTTCTCCCACATACACACACACACACACACACACACACACACACACACTGCAGGCGATGATAATCTAAGATGCTCCCTCTCTCTCCCTCCTTCCTTCCCTCCCTCCCTCCTTCCTTCCTTCCCTCTCTCCCTCCTTCCTTCCCTCCCGCCTTCATTCCTTCCCTCTCTCCCTCCTTCCCTTCTCCCTCCTTCCCTCTCTCCCTCCCTACTTCCCTCTCTCCCTCCCTCCTCCAGGTTTCATTTTGACATTAGTCAGTTTGAGGAGCTGTGGCCAGCTGTCTTTGTTTACATGGTCCACAACTCATGTGGAGAGACCAGGTACGTACAGGACATTTACAGCTGCTTGTCGTCAGGGAAATTAACTTAGTCATATTTACCCATAGATTCTACAAGATAAATTAACTTAGTCTTATACAGTATACCTATAGATTTCACTTATAAATGCTTTGATCTTAATCTGAGGACAGGATAAATACTATACCTCTACAATACTTTACCTACTTCTCCATCCCTCCCAAGATCTCTCTCTCTCTCTCTCTCTCTCTCTCTCTCTCTCTCTCTCTCTCTCTCTCTCTCTCTCTCTCAATTCAATTCAATTCAATGGGCTTTATTGGCATGGGAAACAAATGTTCCCATTGCCAAAGCAAGTTCAATAGATAATAAACAAAAGTGAAATAAACAATAAAAAATGTACAGTAAACATTACAAGGAATAGAGACATTTCACATGTCATATTATGGCTATATACAGTGTTGTAACAATGTGCGAAAAGGGAAAATAAATAAACATAAATATGGGTTGTATTTACAATGGTGTTTGTTCTTCACTGGTTGCCCTTTTCTTGTGAACAACAGGTCACAAATCTTGCTGCTGTGATGGCACACTGTGGTATTTCACCCAATAGATAAGGGAGTTTATCAAAATTGGAATTGTTTTTGAATTCTTTGTGGGTCTGTGTAATCTGATGGGAAATATGTGTCTCTAATATGGTCATACATTTGGCAGGAGGTTAGGAAGTGCAGCTCAGTTTCCACCTCGTTTTGTGGGCAGTGTGCACATAGCCTGTCTTCTCTTGAGAGCCAGGTCTGCCTACGGCGGCCTTTCTCAATAGCAAGGCTATGCTCACTGAGTCTGTACATAGTCAAAGCTTTCCTTAATTTCTGGTCAGTCACAGTGGTCAGGTATTCTGCCACTGTGTACTCTCTGTTTAGGGCCAAATAGCATTCTAGTTTGCGCAGTTTTTTGATAATTATTTTCAATGTGTCAAGTAATTATCATTTTGTTTTCTCATGATTTGGTTGTGGTCTAATTGTGTTGTTGTTGTCCTGGGGCTCTGTGGGGTCTGTTTGTGTTTGTGAACAGAGCCCCAGGACCAGCTTACTTAGGGGACTCTTCTCCAGGTTCATCTCTCTGTAGGAGATGGCTTTGTTATGGAAGGTTTGGGAATCACTTCCTTTTAAGTGGTTATAGAATTTAACGGCTCTTTTCTGGATTTTGATCATTAGCGGGTATCGGCTTAATTCTACTCTGCATGCATAATTTGATGTTTTACATTGTACACTGAGGATATTTCTTGCAGAATTCTGCATGCAGAGTCTCAATTTGGTGTTTGAACAATTTTGTGAATTCTTGGTTGGTGAGCAGACCCTAGACCTCACAACCATAAAGGGCAATGGGTTCTAGAACTGATTCAAGGATTTCTTGCAAGATCCTAATTTGTATGTTGAATTTTATGTTCCTTTTGATGGCATAGAAGGCCCTTCTTGCCTTGTCTCTCAGATCGTTCACAGCTTTGTGGAAGTTACCTGTGGCGCTGATGTTTAGGCTGAGGTATGTATCGTTTTTTGTGTGCTCTAGGGCAACGGTGTCTAGATGGAATTTGTATTTGTGGTCCTGGCAACTGGACCGTTTTTGGAACACCATTATTTTTGTCTTACTGAGATTTACAGTCAGGGCCCAGGTCTGACAGAATCTGTGCAGAAGATCTAGGTGCTGTAGGCCTCTTTGGTTGGGGACAGAAGCACCAGATCATCAGCAAACAGTAGACATTTGACTTCAGATTCTAGTAGGGTGAGGCCGGGTGCTGCAGATGGTTCTAGTGCCCTCGCCAATTTGTTGATATATATGTTGAAGAGGGTGGAGCTCAAGTTGCATCCTTGTCTCACCCCACGGCCCTGTGGAAAGAAATGTGTGTTTTTTGCCAATTTTAACTGCACAATTGTTGTTTGTGTACATGGATTTTATAATGTTGTATGTTTTTCCCCCAACACCGCTTTCCATCAATTTGTATAGCAGACCCTCATGCCAAATTGAGTTTGTTTGTCAATTAGAGTGTGCAGGGTGAATACGTGGTCTGTCGTACGGTAATTTGGTAAAAAGCCAATTTGACATTTGCTCAGTACATTGTTTTAACTGAGGAAATGTACAAGTCTGCTGTTAATGATAATGCAGAGGATTTTCCCAAGGTTGCTGTTGATGCATATCCCACGGTGGTTATTGGCGTCAAATTTGTCTCCACTTTTGTGGATTGAGGTTATCTGTCCTTGGTTCCAAATATTGGGGAAGATGCCAGAGCTGAGGATGATGTTAAAGAGTTTAAGTATAGCCAATTGGAATTTGTGGTCTGTATATTTTATCATTTCATTTAGGATACCATCAACACCACAGGCCCATTTGGGTTGGAGGGTTTGTATTTTGTCCTGTAGTTCATTTAATGTAATTGGACAATCCAGTGGGTTCTGGTAGTCTTTAGTAGCTGATTCTAAGATTTGTAATTGTTCATGTATACGTTTTTGCTGTTTGTTCTTTGTTATAGAGCCGAAATGGTTTATCCCACACATCTCCGTTTTGGATAGATACAGTGGCTTGCGAAAGTATTCACCCCCCCTTGGCATTTTTCCTATTTTGTTGCCTTACAACTTGGAATTAAAATTGATTTTTTGGGGGGTTTGTATCATTTGATTTACACAACATGCCTACCACTTTGAAGATGCAAAAAATTTTTTTTTGTGAAACAAGAGTGTGCATAACTATTCACCCCCCCCAAAGTCAATACTTTGTAGAGCCAACTTTTGCAGCAATTACAGCTGCAAGTCTCTTGGGGTATGTCTCTATAAATCTAGCCACTGTGATTTTTGCCCATTCTTCAAGGCAAAACTGCTCCAGCTCCTTCAAGTTGGATGGGTTCGGCTGGTGTACAGCAATCTTTAAGTCATACCACAGATTCTCAATTGGACTGAGGTCTGGGCTTTGACTAGGCCATTCCAAGACATTTAAATGTTTCCCCTTAAACCACTCGAGTGTTGCTTTAGCAGTATGCTTAGGGTCATTGTCCTGCTGGAAGGTGAACCTCCGTTCCAGTCTCAAATTTCTGGAAGACTGAAACAGGTTTCCCTCAAGAATTTCCCTGTATTTAGCGCCATCCATCATTCCTTCAATTCTGACCAGTTTTCCCAGTCCCTGCCAATGAAAAACATCCCCACAGCATGATGCTTTAAGTATATCCAGGCTCTGTCGCAGCCGGCCGCGACCGGGAGACTCATGGGCGGCGCACAATTGGCCTAGCGTTGTCCAGGGTAGGGGAGGGAATGGCCGGCAGGGATGTAGCTCAGTTGATAGAGCATGGCGTTTGCAACGCCAGGGTTGTGGGTTCGATTCCCACGGGGGACCAGTATGAAAGAAAAAAAAAATCTAAAAAATCAATAATGTATTCACTAACTGTAAGTCTCTCTGGATAAGAGCGTCTGCTAAATGACTAAAATGTCATGTAAATGTAATGCTGCCACCACCATGCTTCACTGTGGGGATGGTGTTCTCGAGGTGATGAGAGGTGTTGGGTTTGCGCCAGACATAGCGTTTTCCTTGATGGCCAAAAAGCTCAATCTTAGTTTAATCTGACCAGAGTACCTTCTTCCATATGTTTGGGGAGTCTCCCACATGGCTTTTGGCAAACACCAAACGTGTTTGCTTATTTTTTTCTTTAAGCTATGGCTTTTTTCTGGCCACTCTTCCATAAAGCCCAGCTCTGTGGAGTGTACGGCTTAAAGTGGTCCTAATGACAGATACTCCAATCTCCGATCTCCGCTGTGGAGCTTTGCAGCTCCTTCAGGATTATCTTTGGTCTCTTTGTTGCCTCTCTGATTAATGCCCTCCTTGCCTGGTCCATGAGTTTTGGTGGGCGGCCCTCTCTTGGCAGGTTTGTTGGGGTGCCATATTCTTTCAATTTTTTAATAATGGATTTAATGGTGCTCCGTGGGATGTTCAAAGTTTCTGGATATTTTTTTATAACCCATCCCTGATCTGTACTTCTCCACAACTTTGTCCCTGACCTGTTTTGAGAGCTCCTTGGTCTTCATGGTGCCGCTTGCTTGGTGGTGCCCCTTTCTTAGTGGTGTTGCAGATTCTGGGGCCTTTCAGAACAGGTGTATATATACACTGAGATCATGTGACAGATGATGTGATACTTAGATTGCATACAGTTGGACTTTATTTAATTAATTATGTGACTTCTGAAGGTAATTGGTTGCACCAGATCTTATTTAGGGGCTTCATAGCAAAGTGGGTGAATACATATGCACGCACCACTTTTCCGTTATTTTTTTAAAATAATGTTTTGAAACAAGTTATTTTTTTCATTTCACTTCACCAATTTGGACTATTTTGTATATGTCCATTACATGAAATCCAAATAAAAATCAATTTAAATTACAGGTTGTAATGCAACAAAATAGGAAAAACGCCAAGGGGGATGAATACTTTTGCAAGACACTGTATGCTGAGAGTGTCAGGTTCTTGTCCAGTTCTGGCATTTAGGTCACCACAGACTAGTACATGTCCCTGGGCCTGGAAATGGTTGATCTGCCCTCCAGGATGGAGAAGCTGTCTTCATTATTGTAAAATGTAAAATGTTCCTGTATTGACTAATTTAATAGAGTGGATTAGGTCTGATCTATACCAAATTAGCATACCCCCTGAGTCTCTTCCCTGTTTCACACCTGGTAGTTGGTGGATGGACTACCACCAGCTCTCTGTAACCTAGAGGGCAACCAGTGTGTGTCTCCTCTATACCAAGTCCCTGAGTGTTGCAGTGGTCTAAGGCGGCAGCATCGCGTGCTAGCTGTGGCCACTAGAGATCCTGGTTCGAATCCAGGCTCTGTCGCAGGCCGGCCGCGACCGGAGACTCATGGGCAGCGCACAATTGTCCAGGGGTAGGGGAGGGAATGGCCGGCAGGGATGTAGCTCAGTTGATAGAGCATGCGTTTGCAACGCCAGGGTTTGGGTTCAATTCCCTGGGGGACCAGTATGAAAAAAATTATATATATGTATCACTAACTGTAAGTCGCTCTGGATAAGAGCGTCTGCTAAATGACTAAAAATGTATAAATGGAAAATGTTTCTTATAGGATGACAGTGTCTGTATTTCCGATTTCTTTGATGAAGTCTGGGTTCCTGCTCTTTAGGACAAAGGCAGATGACCTCAGACCTTCTCTCTCTCTCTCTCCCCCTCCCCTTGAGTGAATTGAGATGGAATTGACCCTAACCCTGTTTGGAATCAGTTGATGACATCCATGCTTTCACTTTTCTCATGATTTGGTCTAATCATGTTGCTCTCTCTCTCGTTCTCTCCCATCCTCTCTCTCTCTCTCTCTCTCTCTCTCTCTCTCTCCCTACCTCTCCCCCAACCTCTCGCTACCCCCCCTCTCCCCCATCCTCTCTCACTCTCACTCTCCCTACCTCTCCCCCATGCTCTCTTTCCCCTCTCTCTCTCTTTCCCCCACCCTCCTCCCTCTAGTTTTGAGTTGGAGAAGTTGTGCAGGTTCACTATGTCTGTGAGGAAGAACTATCGGCGTGTTCCCTACCACAACTGGAAACACGCGGTGAACGTGGCTCACTGTATGTACGTCATACTGCAGAAGACCACTGGCATCTTCACTGAGATAGAGGTGCCTGTCTGTCTGTCTGTCTGCCTGCCTGCCTGCCTGCCTGCCTGTCTGTCTGTCTGTCCATCAGTTTGTCAAAAACACAGTCAGTCAAGAGTTCAAATAAAACAAGGTTCAGAAAGAGGGTTGCGGTCAATTCCATTCCAATTCAGTCATATAAAGAACATCAGTTTACTTCCTGAATTGAGATGGAATTGACCCTAACGCTGTTAAGAATCAGTTGATGTAATTGCTTTCACTTTTCTGGTTGGGTCTAATCATGTTGCTGTTTCTCTACCTCTTCCTCATCCTCTCCCCCATCCTCTCTCTCCCCCACCCCCTCCCCCCGCTCTCTCCCCCATCGCTCTCTCCCCCCATCCTCTCCCCCATCGCTCCTCGCCCACCTCCCTTTCCCCCATCTCTCTCCCCACCGACCCCCGCCTCACCATCCCCTCTCTCTCCCCCATCCTCTCACCACCCCCCTCCCACCCCACCCCCCACTCTCTCCCCCATCCTCTCTCTCCCCCACCCTCGCTCTCCCACCCCTCCCCGCACCCCTCTCTCCCCCCACCGATCTCCAGTCCCCCCCCATCCATCCCCCACCGCTCTCCCCACCCTCCCCCCCTCTCCCCAGACCTCCACTCCCCGCCCCCCAGCCCATCCCCCCCTGCCCCCCAGACCCCGCTCTCTCCCCCATCCTCACTCTCCGCCCGCCCTCTCCCTCCCCCCATCCCTCATCTCTCTCTCTCCCCCTCACTCTCCCTCCCTCCTCCTCCCCTCTCTCCCCTCCCTCCATCTCTCTCTCTCCCCCATCCCTCTCTCCCCTCTCTCCTCCCTCCCTTCTCTCCCTCCCAGTCGTCGTCTGCATCCCTCTCTGCTTCTGCCCCGTCCCCCTCCTAACACTACTCGTTCCATCCTCCTCCCCCCATAGCTCTCCCCCGACCCCCCTTTTCCCCACTCTTCTCTGCGTGCCCTCCCCTCCCTCATCCCCATCACTCTCTAACGCTATCCCCTTCTCCACCCTCGATCCCTATCCCCCCTCTACTGCCCTCCCTCATTATCCTTCATTCGCGCTCTGTCCTTCCTCCATACCCTCTCTCCCCTCTTCTCACTGCTTCCCCCTCCACCACCCTACATCAACCCAGGGCCGACGATCCACTCTCTCCCGCATCTATCTCCCATCCTCTTCCTACCTTTCCCCCCTCTCGTCGTCCCACCCTCTTCCGCCCCCATCCTCTCCCTCCCCTTCCTCGTCCTCCTCCTCCGGTCTCCTCCCCTCACTCCCCCTCTTCCCATCCCTCTCTTGACTGCTCTCCTCCCTCCCCTTCCCCACGCCTCCCCCACTCTTCCATACCTCCCCCATCCCCACCTTCTCTCTCCATCCCCCCCTTTCCCCCTGCAAAACCCCCCTCTTGCTCTTTCCTATCACCGTGTCCTCCCCATCCTCTTCAGTCATCCCTGGACCTGGACTAACACCTCCCCCTGCAACTGGACCTCCTCTGGGTGCCCCCAGTACGTAGAAAACTTCCCATGCCTCGGTCCACTGCTCGACTCACCCCCCAGTCTCACACCTTCCCTATCTGTTATCCACACACACCCCCTTTCCCCCTTCCCCCCCCCCAAAAAAATTTCTTTAATTTTTTTCCTTTATTTAATGTACAAAAACCCCCTTTTTAATTTTAAAACCCTTTTAACAAACCCCGCATTAAACCCCTTTTCCCCGGACCAAAAACCTTTGGGGGATAAAATACCACACACCCCCCAAAAATTTCCAAAATTTCCATTTTAATTTGGGTTTTATTACCTTTTAAAAAATTTAACCAATACCCTTTTCCCGAACACATAGTCCCCCCCCCTAAACCAAAAAATGAAAACTACCGTTAATATCTTACAAATTTTTTAAAATTGGTAAAGGTAACACCTTAAGGTAACCCCTTTCAAAAATTTTCCCCTTCCCGCCCCCAAAAACACATGGGGTTTCTTTAAATCCCACGGGCCCCCCTTTTCCCAAACTGGGGAAACCCCAAGGGAACACCCCCCCTGTGGGGAATCCCAAATTTTCCAAAGACCCCCCAAACCCCCCCCCCCCCCCCCCCCCCCCCGGGGGGGGGGGGGGGGGCCCCTCATGGGTTCACCCCCCCCCCCCTTTTTCCCTTTTTCAAAGCTCTCCCCCCTCCTCTCTCCTCCTCTCTCTCTCTCCCATCCTCTCTCTCTCCCCTCCTCTCTCTCTCCCCCATCCTCTCTTCTCTCCCCCATCAACAGAAGAAGGGTCTGCTAATAGCCTGTCTATGTCATGATCTGGACCATCGAGGCTACAGTAACACCTACCTGCAGAAGTTTGACCATCCTCTAGCTGCCCTGTACAGCTCGTCGACTATGGAGCAGCACCACTTCTCCCAGACTCTATCCATCCTGCAGGTAGGACTACCACACACACACACACATACACTTTTCATTTTAATTGTTTTATTACACTACATTTTACCACTACCTCAGATCACATATGGTCCCCCTCTACAGAGTGTAAAACGTACTCTGATTATAATCTTACATTTTGAGTGTTAATGTAACACTCTGTAATGTAACAAATTAACACCGCATTACGCTTGCAAGTGTTACTCAAATGTAACACTATGGGGTAATTAACACTCAACATTCACAAGGCCGCAGGGCCAGACGGATTACCAGAACGTGTACTCCGAGTATGCGCTGATCAACTGGCAAGTGTCTTCACTTACATTTTCAACATGTCCCTGACTGAGTCTGTAATACCAACATGTTTCAAGCAGACCACCATAGTCCCCGTGCCAATGAACACTAAGATAACCTGCCTAAATGACTACCGGCCCGTAGCACTCACCTCTGTAGGCATGAAGTGCTTTGAAAGGCTGGTCATGGCTCACATCAACACCATTATCCCAGAAGCCCTAGACCCACTCAAATTTGCATACCGCCCCAACAGATCCACAAATGATGCAATCTCTATTGCAATCCACACTGCCCTTTCCCACCTGGACAAAAGGAACACCTATGTGAGAATGCTATTCATTGACTACAGCTCAGTGTTCAACACCATAGTGCCCTCAAAGCTCATCACTAAGCTAAGGACCCTGGGACTAAACACCTCCCTCTGCAACTGGATCCTGGACTTCCTGACGGGCCGCCCCCAGGTGGTAAGGGTAGGTAACAACACATCTTCCACGCTGATCCTCAACACGGGGGCCCCTCAGGGGTGCGTGCTCAGTCCCCTCCTGTACTCCCTGTTCACCCATGACTGCATGGCCAGGCACGACCCCAACACCATCATTGAGTTTGCCGACGACACAACAGTGGTAGGCCTGATCACCGACAACGATGAGACAGCCTATAGGGAGGAGGTCAGAGACCTGGCCGTGTGGTGCCAGGATAACAACCTCTCCCTCAATGTGAGCAAGACAAAGGAGATGATTGTGGACTACAGGAAAAGGAGGACAGAGCACGCCCCCATTCTCATTGAAGGGGCTGTAGTGGAACAGGTTGAGAGCTTCAAGTTCCTTGGTGTCCACATCACCAACAAACTATCATGGTTCCAAACGCACCAAGACAGTTATGAAGAGGGCACGACAAAGCCTATTCCCCCTCAGGAGACTGAAAAGATTTGGCATGGGTCCTCAGATCCTCAAAAAGTTCTACAGCTGCACCATCGAGAGCATCCTGACTGGTTGCATCACCGCCTGGTATGGCAACTGCTCGGCCTCCGACTGCAAGGCACTACAGAGGGTAGTGCGTATGGCCCAGTACATCACTGGGGCCAAGCTTCCTGCCATCCAGGACCTCTATACCAGGCGGTGTCAGAAGAAGGCCCTAAAAATGGTCAAAGACTCCAGCCACCCTAGTCATAGACTGTTCTCTCTGCTACCGCACGGCAAGCGGTACCTGAGCGCCAAGTCTAGGTCCAAAAGGCTTCTTAACAGCTTCTACCCCCAAGCCATAAGACTCCTGAACCGCTAATCATGGCTTCCCGGACACTGTTACTCCACACACTGTTACTCCACACACTGTTACACCACACACTCACACAAACATTGTTATTAACCTGTGTCACCTCCCAATTCAAATCCTTATCATTGGTAGATGATGATCATGTTCCCTGAATCCTTGTCCTCTGAAGTATCAGGGTTGGGGTCAATTCGAATTAAGGTAGTTAATTCAATAAGTAATTTTAATTTAAAACTTCAAAAGTGGAAAAAAACATTTAAAATAATAGCTTTTACTTTTAAGTCATTGAAAATAGATAGCCTTTAAATTGGAAGTTCAGTTTACTTATTGAATTGACCCCAGCCCTGAGAAGTATCCCTAACTACCCCCAACGCCTCAGGATGTGCACTCTGGCTATCCCACCTAAGTCCAGCTGAGCCAAACGCCTCATAAGCGGAGCTTTTGCTATTTATTGATCTCTTTGTTTCCCATAGCTGGAAGGGCACAATATTTTCTCCAACCTGACTTCCAGTGAGTACGAGCAGGTGCTAGAAGTCATCCACAAGGCCATCATCGCTACAGACCTGGCGCTCTACTTTGGCAACCGCAAACAGCTAGCTGAGCTACTGACCACGGGAGCACTGGACCTCAACAACCACCAACACAGGTCAGAGGTTACACACACACTGGACCTCAACAACCACCGACACAGGTTAGTGGTCACACACACACACACACACACACACACACACACACACACACACACACACACACACACACTGGACCTCAACAACCACCGACACAGGTCAGAGGTTAGATAAGAGCTTTCACACTAAAGAGCTGAACTGAACCAAGCCAAATCAGACCAAGCTTACTGAGCTGCCATGGTTACACATCCACCATAGTTGCTGGAACCGTGCTGAGCTGCCATGGTTACACATCCACCATAGTTGCTGGAACCGTACTGAGCTGCCATGGTTACATATCCACCATAGTTGCTAAACCTTGCTAAACAGGGCAATGTGAAGAGAAAACAATTTCATCACACAGTGGTTTGGGTCAGCATCACGGTGGTTTGGGTCAGCATCACGGTGGTTTGGGTCAGCATCATGGTGGTTTGGGTCAGCATCACAGTGGTTTGGGTCAGCATCACGGTGGTTTGGGTCAGCATCACGGTGGTTTGGGTCAGCATCATGGTGGTTTGGGTCAGCATCATGGTGGTTTAGGTCAGCATCACAGTGGTTTGGGTCAGCATCACGGTGGTTTGGGTCAGCATCACGGTGGTTTGGGTCAGTATCACAGTGGTTTGGGTCAGCATCACGGTGGTTTGGGTCAGCATCACGGTGGTTTAGGTCAGCATCACGGTGGTTTAGGTCAGCATCACAGTGGTTTGGGTCAGCATCACGGTGGTTTGGGTCAGCATCACAGTGGTTTAGGTCAGCATCACGGTGGTTTGGGTCAGCATCACGGTGGTTTGGGTCAGCATCACGGTGGTTTGGGTCAGCATCACGGTGGTTTGGGTCAGCATCACGGTGGTTTGGGTCAGCATCATGGTGGTTTGGGTCAGCATCACAGTGGTTTGGGTCAGCATCATGGTGGTTTGGGTCAGCAGCACGACAGTCAAAAAAGACTAATAGAGTCAGGGGACATCTCAAATCAAATCAAATTGTATTGGTCACATACATGTGTTTAGCAGATGTTATTGCGGGTGTAGCGAAATGCTTGTGCTTCTAGCTCCGACAGTGCAGTAATATCTAACAAGTAATATCTAACAATTTCACAACATATACCCAATACACACAAATCAAAGTAAGGAATGAATTAAGAATATATACATATATGGACGAGCGATGTCAGAGCGGCATGGACTAAGATACAGTAGAGTAGTATAAAATACAGTATATACAGTGAGGGAAAAAAGTATTTGATCCCCTGCTGATTTTGTACGTTTGCCCACTGACAAAGACATGATCAGTCTATAATTTTAATGGTATGTTTATTTGAACAGTGAGAGACAGAATAACAACAACAAAATCCAGAAAAATGTTATAAATTGATTTGCATTTTAATGAGGGAAATAAGTATTTGACCCCTCTGCAAAACATGACTTAGTACTTGGCAAAACCCTTGTTGGCAATCACAGAGGTCAGACGTTTCTTGTAGTTGGCCACCAGGTTTGCACACATCTCAGGAGGGATTTTGTCCCACTCCTCTTTGCAGATCTTCTCCAAGTCATTAAGGTTTCGAGGCTGACGTTTGGCAACTCGAACCTTGAGCTCCCTCCACAGATTTTCTATGGGATTAAGGTCTGGAGACTGGCTAGGCCACTCCAGGACCTTAATGTGCTTCTGTGGCTGTGTGTTTTGGGTCATTGTCAAAGCTGGAATACCCATCCACGACCCATTTTCAATGCCTTGGCTGAGGGAAGGAGGTTCTCACCCAAGATTTGACGGTACATGGCCCCGTCCATCGTCCCTTTGATGCGGTGAAGTTGTCCTGTCCCCTTACCAGAAAAACACCACCAAAACATAATGTTTCCACCTCCATGTTTGACGGTGGGGATGGTGTTCTTGGGGTCATAGGCAGCATTCCTCCTCCTCCAAACACGGCGATTTGAGTTGATGCCAAAGAGCTCCATTTTGGTACACTTTCACCCAGTTCTCCTCTGAATCATTCAGATGTTCATTGGCAAACTTCAGAAGGGCATGTATATGTGCTTTCTTGAGCAGGGGGACCTTGCGGGCGCTGCAGGATTTCAGTCATTCACGGCGTAGTGTGTTACCAATTGTTTTCTTGGTGACTATGGTCCCAGCTGCCTTGAGATCATTGACAAGATCCTCCTGTGTAGTTCTGGGTTGTTTCCTCACCGTTCTCATGATCATTGCAACTCCACAAGGTGAGATCTTAAATGGAGCCCCAGGCCGAGGGAGATTGACAGTTATTTTGTGTTTCTTCCATTTGCGAATAATCGCACCAACTGTTGTCACCTTCTCACCAAGCTGCTTGGCGATGGTCTTGTAGCCCATTCTAGCCTTGTGTAGGTCTACAATCTTGTCCCTGACATCCTTGGAGAGCTCTTTGGTCTTGGCCATGGTGGAGAGTTTGGAATCTGATTGATTGATTGCTTCTGTGGACAGGTATCTTTTATACAGGTAACAAACTGAGATTAGGAGCACTCCCTTTAAGAGTGTGCTCCTAATCTCAGCTCGTTACCTGTATAAAAGACACCTGGGAGCCAGAAATCTTTCTGATTGAGAGGGGGTCAAATACTTATTTCCCTCATTAAAATGCAAATCAATTTATAACATTTATGCCATGCGTTTTTCTGGATGTTTTTGTTGTTATTCTGTCTCTCACTGTTCAAATAAACCTACCATTAAAATTATAGACTGATCATGTCTTTGTCAGTGGGCAAACGTACAAAATCAGCAGGGGATCAAATACTTTTTTCCCACACTGTACATATGAGATGAGTAATGCAAGATATGTAAACATTATTAAAGTGGCTAGTGTTCCATTTCTTCAAGTGGCCAGTGATTTCTAGTCTTTGTCTATAGGCAGCAGCCTCTAATGTGCTAGTAATGGCTGTTTAATAGTCTGATGGCCTTGAGATAGAAGCTGTTTTTCAGTCTCTCGGTCCCAGCTTTGATGCACCTGTACTGACCTCACCTTCTGGATGATAGCGGGGTGAACAGGCAGTGGCTCGGGTGGTTGATGTCCTTGATTATATTTTTGGCCTTCCTGTGACATCGGGTACTGTAGGTGTCCTGGAGGGTGGGTAGTTTGCCCCCGGTAATGCGTTGGGCAGACCGCACCACCCTCTGGAGAGCCTTGCTGTTGCGGGTGGTGCAGTTGCCGTACAGGGCGTTGATACAGCCCGACAGGATGCTCTCAATTGTGCATCTGTAAAAGTTTGTGATGGTTTTAGGTGCCAAGCCAAATTTCTTTAGCCTCCTGAGGTTGAAGAGGCTCTGTTGCGCCTTCTTCACCACACTTTCTGTGTGGGTGGTCCATTTCAGTTTGTCAGTGATGTGTACGCCAAGGAACTTGAAGATTTCCACCTTCTCCACTGCGGTCCCGTCGATGTAGATAGGGGGGTGCACCCTCTGCTGTTTCCTGAAGTCCACAAACATCTCCTTTGTTTTGTTGACGTTGAGTGAGAGGTTATTTTCCTGGCACCACACTCCCAGAGCCCTCACCTCCTCCCTGTAGGTGGTCTCGTCATTGTTGGTAATCAGGCCTACTACTGTTGTGTTGTCTGCAAACTTGATGATTGAGTTGGAGGCGTCTTTGACCACGCAGTCATGGGTGAACAGGGAGTACTGGAGTGGGCTGAGCACGCACCCTTGTCGGGCCCCTGTGTTGAGGATCAGCGAAGTGGAGGTGTTGTTTCCTACCTTCACCACCTTGGGGCGGCCCGTCAGGAAGTCCAGGACCCAGTTGCACAGGGCGAGGTTCAGACCCAGGGCCTCAAGCTTAGTGATGAGCTTGGAGGGTACTATGGTGTTGAATGCAGAGCTATAGTCAATGAACAGCATTCTTACATAGGTATTCCTCTTGTCCAGATGGGATAGGGCAGTGTGAAGAGTGATGGCGTTTGCATAGTCTTTTGATCTATTGGGGCGGTAAGCAAATTGACGTGGGTCTAGGGTGGCAGGTAAGGTAGAGGTGATATGATCTCAAAGCACTTCATGATGACAGAGGTGAGTGTACTTACATCTGCACTCATTCTGATGCATCTGGAAAATACAGTCCATTCGGAAAATATTCAGACCCCTTTACTTTTTCCACATTTTGTTACGTTACAGCCTTATTCTAAAATGGATTAAATAGCTTTTTTCCCTCATCAATCTACACACAATACCCCATAATGACAAAGCAATAACAGGTTTCTGGACTTTTTAGCAAATGTATTAAAAATAAAAAACTGAAATAGGACTTTTATTTAAGTATTCAGACCCTTTACTCAGTACTTTGTTGAAGCACCTTTGGCAGCGATTACAGCCTCGAGTCTTCTTGGGTATGACGCTACAAGCTTGGCACACCTGTATTTGGGAAGTTTCTCCCATTCTTCTCTGCAGATCCTCTCTAGCTCTGTCAGGTTGGATGAGCTATTTTCAGGTCTCTCCAGAGATGTTCGATCGGGTTCAAGTCCGGGCTCTGGCTGGGCCACTCAAGGACATTCAGAGACTTGTCCCGAAGCCACTCCTGCGTTGTCTTGGCTGTGTGCTTAGGGTCGTTGTTCTGTTGGAAGGTGAACCTTCACCCCAGTCTGAGGTCATGAGCGCTCTGGAGCAGGTTTTCATCAAGGATCTCTCTCTGTACTTTGCTCTGTTCATCTTTCCCTCGATCCTGTCTCCCAGTCCCTGCCGCTGAAAAACATCCCCACAGCCACCACCATACTTCACCGTAGGGATGGTGGCAGGTTTCCACCAGACGTGACGCTTAACATTCAGGCCAAAGAGTTCAATCTTGGTTTCATCAGACCAGAGAATCTTGTTTCTCATGGTCTGAGAGTCCTTTAGGTGCCTTTTGGCAAACTCCAAGCGGGCTGTCATGTGCCTTTTACTGAGGAGTGGCTTCCGTCTGGCCACTCTACCATAAAGGCCTGACTGGTGGAGTGCTGCAGAGATGGTTGTCCTTCTGGAAGATTCTCCCATCTCCACAGAGGAACTCTGGAGGTCTGTCAGAGTGACCATTGGGTTCTTGGTCACCTCCCTGACCAAGGCTCTTCTCCCCCGATTGCTCATTTTGGCCGGGCGGCCAGCTCTAGGAAGAGTCTTGGTGGTTCCAAACTTCTTCCATTTAAGAATGATAGAGGCCACTGTGTTCTTGGGGACCTTCAATGCTGCAGAAATGTTTTGGTACCCTTCCCCAGATATGTGCCTCAACACAATCCTGTCTCGGAGCTCTACGGACAATTCCTTCGACCTCATGGCTTGGTTTTTTCTCTGACATGCACTGTCAACTGTAGGACCTTAAATAGACAGGTGTGTGCCTTTCCAAATCATGTCCAATCAATAGAATTTACCACAGGTGGACTCCAATCAAGTTGTAGAAACATCTCAAGGATGATCAATGGAAACAGGATGCACCTGAGTCTCATAGCAAAGGGTCTGAATACTTATGTAAATAAGGTATTTCTGTTTGAGTTTTTTTATAAATGTGCTAAAATTTCTAAAAACCTGTTTTCACTTCGTCATTATGGTGTATTGTGTGTAGATTGGGGAGGGAAAAAAATAATTTCATCAATTTTAGAATAAGGCTGTAACGTCACAAAATGTGGAAAATGTCAAGGGGTCTGAATAGTTTCTGAATGCACTGTAGATATAAATAATACATACATAAAAACAAATACTTCTCTTTCCCCAGGGACCGTGTGATTGGTCTGATGATGACAGCATGTGACCTGTGTTCCGTTACCAAGCTGTGGTCAATCACGCGACTCACGGCCAATGATATCTACGCTGAGTTCTGGGCCGAGGTACAGTAGTATAATTCACTACACTCTTAGAAGAAAAGGGTTCTTTGTTTGTCCCCGAAAGAGAACCTTTTTAGGATCCAGGTAGAACCCTTTGGTGGTGAAAAACGTTCTCCTTATAACCTTTTAGTGTTGAAAGGGTTCCAAGTCCTTGTATTAGTGGAAGGGTTCCACTTGGAACAAAAAAAAACATTATTTTCAGAGGGTTCTCCTATGGGGACCGAACCCTTTATAGTTCTAGGTTGAACCTTATTTTCTAAGAGTGTACTACAGTACTGCTGTTTTAAAGAGTTAATCAATTAATTAATTATGAATAAATTATGAATGAATGGATTATGACAAAGGAATTAATCATAGTACTCAAAATATCATCAGGTGTCACTATGCTTTGTCCTTTTGGTCTCAATAACCTCCTCCATTCTACATCCTCTCTTCCTCTTCCTCTTCCTCTTTCTCTTTCTCTCTTCCTCTCTTCCTCTCCTCTCTTCCTCTCCTCTTCCTCTCTTCCTCTTCCTCTCCTCCTCTCCTCTTACTCTCCTCCTCCTCTTCCTCTCCTCTCTTCCTCTCCTCCTCTTCCTCTCCACTTACTCTCCTCCTCCTCTTCCTCTCCTCTTCCTCTCCTCCTCCTCTCCTCCTCTCCTCTCCAGGGGGATGAGATGAAGAAGATAGGTATGCAGCCCATCCCTATGATGGACAGAGATAAGAAGGAAGAGGTTCCTCAGGGGCAGGTCAGAACTTCACCTCCCCTCTGCCCTTGTCCACTCCCCTTTACTGATCTGAGACCGGTGTAGGTGGAAAACAATGGTTTAAACGACAACAGCTCCACTCCACATAGTTTCCATATTTCTTTCCCATCCAGTCCCATCAGATCTGTGAAGGGGAGTTGTTAGATTAATTTGGATTTTAAGAATAATGACTAAAGAATTTCACCCCAAACACAGTATAAATGTTAGAATTATCATGTAGTGTCAACCCACTAACAGAAGGGGCGTTACTAACCATTCAAGGGGGAAGGCGGGAACTGTTTAAGAAAGGTGGGAGGAGCATAGTGTCTTTGTTTATCAAGGGGTATAAAACAGTATGTTTGTGCCTTTGGCCCCAGAGCTCTCCTTAAATAAAATGTACTGATAATTACTTGTGGATTGTGGACCTTGAATCATTGATGATTAAAACCAGAGCTTTACAACCTCTGGTAATGATTCAAGCTTAGGTCGAATTAGAGATAGAAATTCACGTGACAGGAGTTGTTGTCATTATCCTCCTCTGTTTCTCTAGGTGGGGTTCTACAATGCTGTTGTTATTATCCTCCTCTGTTTCTCTAGGTGGGGTTCTACCTAGCTGTTGTTATTATCCTCCTCTGTTTCTCTAGGTGGGGTTCTACAATGCTGTTGCCCTCCCATGTTATACTACATTATCTGAGCTCTTCCCCCCGTCTAGCCCTCTTCTACAAGCCTGCAAGTAAGTAACATACAAAACACATCATATATTACATGGACTACACAGCATATATTACATGGACTACACACCGTATATTACATGGACTACACACACCATATATTACATGGACTACACACCATATATTACATGGACTACACACCATATATTACATGGACTACACACACCATATATTACATGGACTACACACCATATATTACATGGACTACACACCATATATACATGGACTACACACCATATATTACATGGACTACACACCATATATTACATGGACTCACACCATATATTACATGGACTACACACCAATATTACATGGACTACACACACCATATATTACATGGACTAACACACCATATATTACATGGACTACACACCATATATTACATGGACTACACACACCATATATTACATGGACTACACACACCATATATTACATGGACTACACACACCATATATTACATGGACTACACACACCATATATTACATGGACTACACAGCATATATTACATGGACTACACACCATATATTACATGGACTACACACACCATATATTACATGGACTACACACCATATATTACATGGACTACACACCATATATTACATGGACTACACACATCATATATTACATGGACTACACACACCATATATTACATGGACTACACACACCATATATTACATGGACTACACACCATATATTACATGGACTACACACACCATATATTACATGGACTACACACCATATATTACATGGACTACACACACAATATATTACATGGACTACACCACCATATATTACATGGACTACACACACCCATATTACATGGACTACACACAACATTATATACATGGACTACAACACCATATATTACATGGACTACACACACCAATATTTACATGGACTACCACACCATATTACATGGACTACACACCATATATTACATGGACTACACACCATATATTACATGGACTACACACCATATATTACATGGACTACACACACCATATATTACATGGACTACACACACCATATATTACATGGACTACACACACATATATTACATGGACTACACACCATATATTACATGGACTACACACACCATATATTACATGGACTACAACACACCATATATTACATGGACTACACCACTCAATTACATGGACTACACACACCATATATTACATGGACTACACACACCATATATTACATGGACTACACACCATATATTACATGGACTACACACCATATATTACATGGACTACACACACCATATATTACATGGACTACACACCATATATTACATGGACTACACACACATATATTACATGGACTACACATCATATATTACATGGACTACACACACCATATATTACATGGACTACACACACCATATATTACATGGACTACACATCATATATTACATGGACTACACACACCATATATTACATGGACTACACACACCATATATTACATGGACTACACACACCATATATTACATGGACTACACACACCATATATTACATGGACTACACACACCATATATTACATGGACTACACACACCATATATTACATGGACTACACATCATATATTACATGGACTACACATCATATATTACATGGACTACACCACACCATATATTACATGGACTACACACATCATATATTACATGGACTACACACATATATTACATGGACTACACACACCATATATTACATGGACTACACACCATATATTACATGGACTACACCATCATATATTACATGGACTACACACACCATATATTACATGGACTACACATCATATATTACATGGACTACACATCATATATTACATGGACTACACATCATATATTACATGGACTACACACACCATATATTACATGGACTACACACTCATATATTACATGGACTACACATCATATATTTACATGGACTACACATCATATATTACATGGACTACACATCATATATTACATGGACTACAACACACCATATATTACATGGACTACACATCATATATTACATGGACTACACATCATATATTACATGGACTACACACATCATATATTACATGGACTACACACCATATATTACATGGACTACACACCATATATTACATGGACTACACACACCATATATTACATGGACTACACACACCATATATTACATGGACTACACATCATATATTACATGGACTACACACCATATATTACATGGACTACACACCATATATTACATGGACTACACACATCATATATTACATGGACTACACACACCATATATTACATGGACTACACACCATATATTACATGGACTACACACACCATATATTACATGGACTACACACACCATATATTACATGGACTACACACCATATATTACATGGACTACACACACCATATATTACATGGACTACACACACCATATATTACATGGACTACACACCATATATTACATGGACTACACACCATATATTACATGGACTACACACATCATATATTACATGGACTACACACCATATATTACATGGACTACACACACCATATATTACATGGACTACACACACCATATATTACATGGACTACACACCATATATTACATGGACTACACACCATATATTACATGGACTACACACATCATATATTACATGGACTACACACCATATATTACATGGACAACACACACCATATATTACATGGACTACACACATCATATATTACATGGACTACACACATCATATATTACATGGACTACACACCATATATTACATGGACAACACACACCATATATTACATGGACTACACACATCATATATTACATGGACTACACACATCATATATTACATGGACTTCACATCATATATTACATGGACTACACACACCATATATTACATGGACTACACACACCATATATTACATGGACTACACACACCATATATTACATGGACTACACATCATATATTACATGGACTACACACCATATATTACATGGACTACACACATCATATATTACATGGACTACGAACCATATATTACATGGACTACACACCATATGTTACATGGACTACACACACCATATATTACATGGACTACACATCATATATTACATGGACTACACATCATATATTACATGGACTACACACACCATATATTACATGGACTACACACATATATTACATGGACTACACACCATATATTACATGGACTACACACATCATATATTACATGGACTACACATCATATATTACATGGACTACACACCATATATTACATGGACTACACACCGTATATTACATGGACTACACACCATATATTACATGGACTACACACACCATATATTACATGGACTACACACCATATATTACATGGACTACACACCATATATTACATGGACTACACACACCATATATTACATGGACTATACACACCATATATTACATGGACTACACACACCATATATTACATGGACTACACACACCATATATTACATGGACTACACACACCATATATTACATGGACTACACACCATATATTACATGGACTACACACCATATATTACATGGACTACACACACCCATATATTACATGGACTACCACACCATATATTACATGGACTACACAACCATATATTACATGGACTACAACACCATATATTACATGGACTACACACACCATATATTACATGGACTACACATCATATATTACATGGACTATACACACCATATATTACATGGACTACACATCATATATTACATGGACTACACACACCATATATTACATGGACTACACACATCATATATTACATGGACTACACACCATATATTACATGGACTACACACATCATATATTACATGGACTACACACACCATATATTACATGGACTACACATCATATATTACATGGACTACACACACCATATATTACATGGACTACACACACCATATATTACATGGACTACACACCATATATTACATGGACTCCACACCATATATTACATGGACAACACACACCGTATATTACATGGACTACACACCATATATTACATGGACTACACACACCATATATTACATGGATACACACACCATATATTACCTGGACTACACACATCATATATTACATGGACTACACACACCATATATTACATGGACTACACACCATATATTACATGGACTACACACACCATATATTACATGGACTACACACCATATATTACATGGACTATACACCATATATTACATGGACTACACACCATATAGTACATGGACTACACACCATATATTACATGGACTACACACCATATAGTACATGGACTAATATATATCTGCATCAGCATCACGTGAACATGCACATGCACACACACACACTCACTATCTTCCTACCGGCCTTTTGACCATAGTATGATTGTGTTTCCACAGGGAGAACCTTGGCCATTGGGAGAAGATAGTGAATGGAGAGGAGGAGGACAGTGGAGTGAGAGGAGTGTGGGCTCCATCAGAGCCTGTTGACCCCAGGGTAGAGCCTGTTGACCCCAGGGTAGAGCCTGTTGACCCCAGGGTAGAGCCTGTTGACCCCAGGGTAGAGCCTGTTGACCCCAGGGTAGAGCCTGTTGACCCCAGGGTAGAGCCTGTTGACCCCAGGGTAGAGCCTGTTGACCCCAGGGTAGAGCCTGTTGACCCCAGGGTAGAGCCTGTTGACCCCAGGGTAGAGCCCAGCACGGAGGAACCATCTAACCCTGACTCAGGCCCTGTGAAGGTGGACAACTGACTTGTAGTGAAGCCACTGCTCGCCCTCACTACCACACAAGTCAATATGCCCTCACTACCACTCGCCCTCAACATGTCCCCTGCCATCAGGTGTGTGTACTTCCTGTCTGGACTTCCTGTGTCAGCGCCTCAATTCCTGCTGCAACAGGAAGGGGCGGGAAACATGCGTAGGCACAAGGGAAGGTGATTGGTGGATTTACAAACAAGGGGATTCTTTTCAGACACAGTTACCTCATTGGGTGAGGGATGTGAGGAGGTAACCTTGACGGTGTTCACCAGTCCCGTAGACACGGACGGAGGACAGCAGGGGTGTGTTCATTAGGGATCAAATGCAAGTAAACGGGCCGAAACAGGGAGGGACTACCTGGACTGGTCCAATAAGAAACGGTTGTTTTACTATTTCCGTTGCAAAATGTTTTGCTACGTTTTGCTATGGTATGCACTGATGAATACAGCCGAGAGAGAGGTGGGGGACTCGGTCCCAATCACCTGATCCACTCCACTGCTTAGGAGCCAGTCCAGACCTGTCTGAGCTGATCTGTATGTCTGTGCTTTTGTTTTTGTTTGTTTTGATTTGATTTTAATGTTAATTAGATTTTTTTTATTTGGGCTGGTTTGTTTTATGTTATGGAATTTGCAGAGGCCTTAGTCTTTACACTCTAAACCTTTATAAAGGGCAGGAGGTGAAATCTTGACTTTTTGTTTGTTGGTTCTGACGTTATGAATGTGTCTGAAATGGTACCCTATCTCCTATATAAAGCACTACTTTTGACCTGGGCCCAACATAACTAAAATCCATTCCTCTTAACTCCCGGGCGTTTTCCAAAAGACCCCCTGTAGGCCCTGGTCAAAAGTAGTGCACTCAATAGGGAAGAGGGTACCATTTAGGATGCAGTCTATTGAAATGGTACTGTTTGTTTGCTTGCTGTGGTAGACTGACTGGTAGAGGAGGCTGTTGGTTCTCAAAGAGAAACAGAAAGAAGGTTTAGATTGTTGTCGAAACGAAGCCTCTAGAATGTCTTCTAGAATGTTCTAGAATGTTTTCTGTCACTTTGAGCAAAAAATTGTGTTTTTTTGCAGTACTTGAATGAAGACATACAGAACATACATTCTATTCTCTTCAGAGATGGCAAAAATAGAGCAGAAATCCCCCCACAGCGTCTTATTATCAAAGCACAGACAGACAAAGTGTGACCAGCGGGGCTGAGTTAGATAATGTCAACACTTAGCTAGCCGTGTCACACGAGAGTCACAATGTTCCATGCAGAAAGGGCCCCTAGTACCCAACACCCAGGCAGACCTGGGTTCAAACACCATTTAAAATCATTTCAAATACTTTATCTGGGCTTGATTGAGCTTGCCTGGCACAATGGAACCAATAGAATAGTTGCAAGTTTAAACCCCGCCCATCTGGCACTCTATGCAGACTAAAGCAATCACTAAAAGTATTCAAAAGATTTCAAATAGTCTTTGAACCCAGGTCTGCACCCCACCACCCAGCTACTAGCCGCTGGTGTTGCCACAGGAACCTGCTGCTGGCTACAAGTCAGCCTTTTGACTGTCTGATTATCGGAACCCAGAACCATGGGCAATCAGTCTTTTAGGTTCTAGAACCCAGAACCATGGGCAATCAGTCTTTTAGGTTCTAGAACCCAGAACCATGGGCAATCAGTCTTTTAGGTTCTAGAACACAGAACCTTGGGCAATCAGTCTGTTTTTTGACTCTCCTTGTAGCCTGGTCCCAGATCTGTTTGCGCTAGACTCTCCTTGTAGCCTGGTCCCAGATCTGTTTGCGCTAGACTCTCCTAGTAGCCTGGTCCCAGATCTGTTTGCGCTAGACTCTCCTAGTAGCCTGGTCCCAGATCTGTTTGCGCTAGGCTCTCCTAGTAGCCTGGTCCCAGATCTGTTTGCGCTAGACTCTCCTTGTAGCCTGGTCCCAGATCTGTTTGCGCTAGGCTCTCCTAGTAGCCTGGTCCCAGATCTGTTTGCGCTAGACTCTCCTAGTAGCCTGGTCCCAGATCTGTTTGCGCTAGACTCTCCTTGTAGCCTGGTCCCAGATCTGTTTGCGCTAGGCTCTCCTAGTAGCCTGGTCCCAGATCTGTTTGCGCTAGACTCTCCTAGTAGCCTGGTCCCAGATCTGTTGCGCTAGACTCTCCTAGTAGCCTGGTCCCAGATCTGTTTGCGCTAGGCTCTCCTAGTAGCCTGGTCCCAGATCTGTTTGCGCTAGACTCTCCTAGTAGCCTGGTCCCAGATCTGTTTGCGCTAGGCTCTCCTAGTAGCCTGGTCCCAGATCTGTTTGCGCTAGGCTCTCCTAGTAGCCTGGTCCCAGATCTGTTTGCGCTAGACTCTCCTAGTAGCCTGGTCCCAGATCTGTTTGCGCTAGGCTCTCCTAGTAGCCTGGTCCCAGATCTGTTTGCGCTAGACTCTCCTAGTAGCCTGGTCCCAGATCTGTTTGCGCTAGGCTCTCCTTTTAGCCTGGTCCCAGATCTGTTTGCGCCGTCTTACCAACTAGAACAGCCCCCGAGTCCAGTCCAATGGGTATTCACTGCACTGAGTTCATAACACCAAGAGGAGCAAGACAAACACACACATTGATACAACATTTATTTAAAAAAAAAAATGAATAGATATTGATGGATAGCCAGAACATTGTCAAGACGACAGACATAAGTAATACACTCTCTTTATTTTCTTATGCCGTTCACATACAGTATCATTGATCATTTGAAAACAAATATATTGTGAAAAAATACTACATACCTCAATAACCTGAGATCGACAGTAATGTTCTTTGATATTTCCCTGACTATTTCCTGTTGTATTCATAAAACCGTTGAGATACAGTAAATGAATATGATATATCTAAGTGGATAAAATGTCAAGATGCCATTTTTTTTCCTTTTTGCAAAGTTGTTTTAAAAAAGGGGCAATCTGCATCTCAAACAATAACAAAGTAGGCACCCCGCCTCTGTTTTTGTAAAGAGCTGAGGGGATGGGGGAAATGTAACCACTCTCAATGTAACTAAAGACAGCTATATATGCAAGGACTGACCACCCATGACATCAAAATGATGGTATTAACCATGTGTTGAGGCTATCCAGTAAAACAAGCTAATATTTTGGGTTCTGATGGGGTACTACAGTTGAACTAAGCTCATGAGGCATTTATAAGTAATATTCGTCAAGGATCAATGCATATATACAGTGGGGGGAAAAAAAGTATTTAGTCAGCCACCAATTGTGCAAGTTCTCCCACTTAAAAAGATGAGAGAGGCCTGTTATTTTCATCATAGGTACACGTCAACTATGACAGACAAAATTAGGAAAAAAATTCCGGAAAATCACATTGTAGGATTTTTTATGAATTTATTTGCAAATTATGGTGGAAAATAAGTATTTGGTCAATAACAAAAGTTTCTCAATACTTTGTTATATACCCTTTGTTGGCAATGACACAGGTCAAACGTTTTCTGTAAGTCTTCACAAGGTTTTCACACACTGTTGCTGGTATTTTGGCCCATTCCTCCATGCAGATCTCCTCTAGAGCAGTGATGTTTTGGGGCTGTCGCTGGGCAACACAGACTTTCAACTCCCTCCAAAGATTTTCTATGGGGTTGAGATCTGGAGACTGGCTAGGCCACTCCAGGACCTTGAAATGCTTCTTACGAAGCCACTCCTTCGTTGCCCGGGCGGTGTGTTTGGGATCATTGTCATGCTGAAAGACCCAGCCACGTTTCATCTTCAATGCCCTTGCTGATGGAAGGAGATTTTCACTCAAAATCTCACGATACATGGCCCCATTCATTCTTTCCTTTACACGGATCAGTCGTCCTGGTCCCTTTGCAGAAAAACAGCCCCAAAGCATGATGTTTCCACACCCATGCTTCACAGTAGGTATGGTGTTCTTTGGATGCAACTCAGCACTCTTTGTCCTCCAAACACGACGAGTTGAGTTTTTACCAAAAAGTTATATTTTGGTTTCATCTGACCATATGACATTCTCCCAATCCTCTTCTGGATCATCCAAATGCACTCTAGCAAACTTCAGACGGGCCTGGACATGTACTGGCTTAAGCAGGGGGACACGTCTGGCACTGCAGGATTTGAGTCCCTGGCGGCGTAGTGTGTTACTGATGGTAGGCTTTGTTACTTTGGTCTTAGCTCTCTGCAGGTTATTCACTAGGTCCCCCTGTGTGGTTCTGGGATTTTTGCTCACCGTTCTTGTGATAATTTTGACCCCACAGGGTGAGATCTTGCGTGGAGCCCCAGATCGAGGGAGATTATCAGTGGTCTTGTATGTCTTCCATTTCCTAATAATTGCTCCCACAGTTGATTTCTTCAAACCAAGCTGCTTACCTATTGCAGATTCAGTCTTGGCCATAGTGGAGTTTGGAGTGTGACTGTTTGAGGTTGTGGACAGGTGTCTTTTATACTGATAACAAGTTCAAACAGGTGCCATTAATACAGGTAACGAGTGGAGGACAGAGGAGCCTCTTAAAGAAGAAGTTACAGGTCTGTGAGAGCCAGAAATCTAGCTTGTTTGTAGGTGTCCAAATATTTACTTATTTTCCACCATAATTTGCAAATAAATTCATTAAAAATCCTACAATGTGATTTTCTGGATATTTTTTTCTCAATTTGTCTGTCGTAGTTGACGTGTACCTATGATGAAAATTACAGGCCTCTCTCATCTTTTTAAGTGGGAGAACCTGCACAATTGGTGGCTGACTAAATACTTTTTTTCCCCACTGTATCATTATTTTAAATGTCAAAAAATTGATGTATCGATTACATATTGCACCTTTAAACACATAATTGGTAGGTTACTTGATCACAAATGGTAATTGACCATTAAATATTGAGGTGATGATTTGAGGCCAAATTGGTGCATCACCACCTCCACCATCACTACTACCACCACCACCACTACCAATACCATCACCACCTCCACCATCACTACTACCACCCCACCATCACCATCACTACCACCACCATCACTAC